GCGGCATTCTCTGGGTGAGCCCATTGCTTCTTTGTGGTAAACGGCCACTCTTTCTCTTAAGGAGAGGCCTGGGCTCATTCCATGAGGTGTGATAGTGAATGCAAGGCACCAACTGTCATTGGTAATTCTCTAAGAAGCAGTGGTTGAAGTTTGACAAGGTCCTTTCCAGTTTACTTGTCTGTGTGAGCACCTCTCCAGAGTAATTTTCAACTCATTTGTTTTACAGGCATGGGGAATAAAAACCAGCTAAGTATATGAGATCACTTGGGAAAGATTTTTTTCTTTTAACTGCTGTCACGTGCTCTGAGCGTGGTTGCTGCTGAATGAGCACACAGTGATGCAGTCTCTGCTCTCTCGGTCTGTTCTAAGACTCACATTGAACTCCGTTTGAAACTTGTACTCGGCATGTAATCTTGAATAGTTTATGTCAGTACAGTTCAGACTGTCTCGTAGATGACACTAACACCAGTTTGCATGCTTTTCTTTAGCTACATCCTTTCCTAAGGGCATTTAAGTAGTTACAAACACTCATCAAGCAGTATCTAAGCATTATTACCTCCTTAGAGTAAATACACTCTGTTTGTCTTTGGAAGGCCATCTGTTCGATTATGTGTCTAAGGTAAGGTCAGTAGATTTTCATAGCGCTGTCTATGTTTTAGGCTTTACTTTTATTTTGTTAGTTTTCTTTTATAATTTGCTTCATTTTTTTCATATTGGCCCCAAAATAGTTTACTTGGATTATAAACAGCAGTATGTTTTATTATGTATAAGCTATTAGAATGTGTATATATATATATATATATATATATATATATATATATATATATTCTTTGCCATTAAACTGGAGTCATATAACTTAATTCTATTTCTAATACTTTGCCAGCCAACAGTATAAAACTCAAATCCTTCTCTACCCAACACTTTAAAGATATATTCTTTGGGGAATTCCTCTACCTTATGATGTTTATGGGGCTGTCTGTTTTTCAGAGCTATGTGGGTAGTTTGTGCAATTCTACTTTTGTCTCCCAGCTTACGAGTGTGCTATTAAAAACATTTAGTTTTTGTATGTGTAGGCGTGTGTGAGCATGGGTACACACATGCCATGGTGCACATGTGGAGGTCAGGAGACAGCTTTTCAGGAGTCAGTTCTTGCCTGCCAGCTTGTTGAAGCCAAGTGTCTCTTATTTCTGCCGCTGAAATACATGTATCAGACTGGCTGGCCTTTGAGTTTCTAGTCATTTTTTTTTCTGTCTCTACCCCCCTACTTTCCATAGAAGTGCTGAGATCACAGATATGAGGCAGGCATCTGTCTCTTCACGTGGGTTTAAAAGCAAGCAATTTTACCTGCTGAGACATCGTCTCTGCTCATGAGTATGCTCTTTCACCCATCACATTCATTCACACTAACTAAATAATTCAACAATTAAGCTTTGTAGCCTTGTACAATTTCAACTATTAAGAAATGAAACCAAAATTCACAGTCAAAATAAAAAATATTTGGATCTTTGTAGGAATTAAATAAAGATGAACAATTTTTTTTTATTGTGTGAAGACCTTGATTTTGAACTATACAGAAAGATAAAGATAGTACTTTTGAGACTTTTGAAGGCTCATGGCTGGCAGAAGGAGCAGTAAGATATGGCTATAACAACCACAAGCAGAGAATCGCTTGGGTGTTGTGATGATTATCCCTCTTTCTACAATGATGTGCTAAGCTATGGAAGGTTCATAGAAACCAGTTTAGTAAGATGATTGTACTATACAGACACCATCAGCATAGTCCTGAGAAAAATTATAGAGTTCTAGCAGAATCACTGAATTGAGAATTTAACAGTTGCAGAATCCAGGTGTCTATACATATATATTGTACACACACATATAAAATTAGTGTTGGTGTGGTTTTGTCTCCTGCCAGAAGACCTGTGATTTGCAGTGACTTGGAGAACAGTAGGCTTACCTATGTGAGTCAGGCACACTTTGCATGGGTCTTGCTGCAGTGACTCTCATGAATGAGTTCATTAAGTCTGGGAAAGCACCCTAATAAAAATGTTCATATTTTACAGCAGGGGTCAGTACAGTGTTTTATAAAAGGTGAGGCAGTTACTGTTATAGTTTCTCTGTGGCAGAAAGCGAAATCAAAGATTGTGTGGATGTTCTTAAACCGTTTACAAAGGAACCACTTAAGCACAAGAACACATTTCTTAGCTGACCTATCAAAAACAGGCTGCCAAACTAAATTAGTTTGCATATCACATTTGCTTATTCCCTCCAGGGTTCAAACATTGTATTCTACATTTCCATTGATTTTTAATAATTTAGGCTAGGGTCCAAATATTTGTTTGGTTAGCTATATAGGTATACCAATATCAGAACACTGAATGTTTGAATTTTATAAAAGATTTCAAGCTGATTGAACAGCTTACAATTTTGGTTCATCTGTGTTGCCTGCACTAATAAAGACAAATTTACATCTGGCAAACATAAAGGCAGGCCCTCAACAATCTAGTGGCATTTGCTTACACTATTACAGAAATGTCAGAAGTGCCACTAGAGACAAAGAGTCATTACAGCACACAGTCCTTTAAGTTGTAACTGTGCATGGGAGATAACGGAGTTAGTTTAATAAGTAAAATAAATCAGCCAGGAAGATATAAATAATATTTATCTAGATGGAAAAATAAAAATGTGCAATTCAATGATATTTTTGTCTTACAGTTGCAGAGGCTTTTTAATGGTTCTTCGGTCAGTATCGAGCCTTTGAGAGTTTGGTTTCTATGTTATCTGAAGGAAAACTCCCAGCATATGGGCTAAAGGCCTTGCCTAGCAATTGAGAAAGTTATTAGCCTAAAGAGAAACCTGGTCACCCAATCAGGGGAGCCCATTCTCTGGAGGCTTGGCACAATTGTGCCTCTGGATGGCAGATACTCATCAGGCCATATGGGGCTTTTAGTGTTTGGCTGACCTCCAGGAAAACTCCAGTAAGTTTGGTCTACTACATTTAGGCTAATCTTCCACTGTTTATATATGCTTCACAACTTACGGCAAATACCATTCCTTATTGGGAAGTAAGGCTTAGAGTCACCAGGGTAATCCATTTATATGACAGGAAAGACAGGAATTTATTTAATGACAAATGATAAGAAATTTAGTAAGTGCTTCATCAACAAAAGCAAGCTGGACTTTTTCTGGAGCATGGAGCACAATTCTAGTTACTTTATAAATGTTATGAAGAAGTTTACTCAGATTATCGTTAAACAGCAACTACCAATTGATCAGTAAATGTTTCAAGTACAGTACTTTGATTTAGCTCTATATTTTAGTTAGCACTTCTTAAGTTGTCTTAGTATAACTCTGAGATACCAACACAAGATTAAAGTACTTAAAAATAATTTTCTCCATGAATATACATTTCATTTACTGATAATTGAAAACTAATAAGTTCTCAATAGTTTGTGCCAAAATGTCCTCTTAACAGTTATATTTTGGTTGTTTGTTTCAAGACAAGGCCTGGTTCTGTGGTGAAAAGTTTCCTAGGACTTGTTGTTAGCCCAGACTCTAGCTTTGAGGTCACCACTGTCTTCCTGTGGCGTCCAAGTGCTGGGGTTATAGGTGTGAGCCATGACACCTGGTAAGGGATACTTTCTCACTTTCACTGAAAAAAAGATTTTTATACGTGTGTGTGTGTGTGTGTGTGTGTGTGTGTGTGTGTGTGTGTGTGCATGTGCATGTACCTGTGGAGGCCAGGAGAGGGCATCAGATCTCATGGAACTGGAGTTACAGGCTTTTGTGGGTAGCCTAACATGGGTGTTGGGAACAGAACTTGAGCATCTGGAAGAGCAGCAAGGGTTCTGAGCCACACAGCCATCTCTCCATCCCTGCTTTGGCTGTTTGATATGTTTGGAACTCAGGGCAAAGAAATATGAAACATACAGAGTCTATCTCTCTTAAAGCATTGACAAGGGAATGATGATGCACTTATCTATTTATATATGTACGTGCATGCAGGTAATAGGAAACTTCTGGGTTAGGGATGGGGCTCATGCCCAGATTCCCTCTCAGCATTGGGATGCCATCTGCCGTGGACTTGTACGGACCCTGCACATGCTGCCATGGGCTCTGTGACTTCATCTGTGCATCAGTCCTGCTGTGTCTGGGAGATGCTGTTTCCTTGGTGTCTTCTGTCTTCATTGGCTCTCGTAATCTTTCCATCCCTTCTGCATAACAGCTCCCTGAGTGCTGAGGTGTGTGTAGGGGGGAACGTTGAGGAGTCCATCCTGTTTAAGACTGAGTATCCCAAGGTTTCTTATTCTCTGTACATTGTCCAGGTTTTGGTTTCTGTATTAATTCGCATTTACTGTAGAAGGATGCTTCTCTGATGATGGCTGAGTGAGACACTGATCTATGGGTATAGAAGGATGTTGTTAGGAATCATTTTATTGCTGTGGTCCTTTAGCAGAACAATAGGTTTTTCTCCTAGGTCCATGGCCTATTCAGTCTCAGGCTCTTGAGAATATAGATTCATATAGAACGAATCTCTCTCTATCTGTATCTATCTATATCTATCTATCTATCTATCTATCTATCTATCTATCTATCTATCTATCTATCTATCTATCTATCAATCATCTATCTATCGGAATGGGATTAGAATGATTTATATGATGTGGTCCAGCTACTCTAACCATGGCTTTCTACCAATAGAAGAATCCAGTAGTTGTTCAGACTAATGGACATCTCAGCTGGTCTTCAGTATACACTGGAATCTGAAGAAGTAGGCTCTAATGCCAGTGAAGGAATGGATTTGCCAGTGAGAGTGAGAGCAAGCAGGCAAAGAGAGCAAACTTCTTATGTCCTTTATGTAGGCTGCCAGCAGAAGGGATGGCCCAGATTAAAGGTGTATCTTCCCACCTCAAAGATCCATATTAGAAAGTGGGTCTTTGCAATTCAAATAATTTAATTAAGAAAAAGTTCCTCACAGGTGTGCCCACTCAGCATGAACATGTGTCTCAGTTAGGGTTTCTGTTGCTGTGAAAAGACACCATGACCATGGCAACTCTTATAAAGGAAAGCATTTAATTGGGGCTAGCCTACAGTTCAGAGGTTTAGTTCGTTATCATCCTGGTGGGTGACGTGCAGGCAGACGTAGTGCTGGAGGAGGAGATGAGAGTTCTACACGCTGATCCACAGGCAACAGGAAGTGAACTGTCTCACTAAGTGTGGCTTGAGCATCAGTGAGACCTCAAAGCCCTCTCCACTGTGGCACACTTCTTCCCACAAAGCCACACATCCTAATAATGCACTTCTTCCCACAAAGCCACAACTAATAGTGCCACTCCTTATGGGGGCCATTTTCTTTCAAACCACCACAGTATGGTAATTTGTTTGTCAAATTTATTTCCTTTTTTGTGTGTTTGTATGTATATGGCTATGTGGATGCATACAGGTCAGAGACCAACTTGAGTGAGCTATCTCCTTCTACCTTTGGGGCCAGAGTATTGAATTCAGGTTGTCAGTCTTGGCAACAAGAACTTTTACATTCTGAGTCATTTTAATGATCCCATTATATGATATTTTGGGCTTTCCTAAATTCCCAAGTACTTAAGGAAAACCATCTTCTTGCCTATAATTTCAATTATGCATATATGATTTGATGTGTACTATAGTACACAACTGAAGAACAGATTTTCCCCCTTGTTTTATTAGTTGAGAATTTTGTGTGATGTACTTTGATCATATTTATCCCTTCTCCCAATTCTCTCTAGAGCCCCCTTGCCCTACCCACCTATCTTTGTTTCCTCATCAAGTTCAATTTGTGTTGCACATATAATCTTGGTTTATGGCCATCCATTAGAGCATGGGTGTGTTCAACCTACTAGAGGCACACCCTAAAAAAGAACTGGACTGGCTCTCTCTCTCTTCCAGTTGCCAATCTCTCCTTGTCTAGATGTAGATATTCTTGTCTACCTCCTCTTTATGCTAGTATTTTTTATGGTTTTGAACTTGTACAGGTCTTGTGCATGTTGTCAGAACTGCTAGGAGTTTACATGAACAACTTCCCTGTTGTGTCCATAAACACTGTCTAGTTGTCGTTACCACTTCTGGCTGTTATAGACCTTCTTCTTCATTCTCTACAATGATCTGTGATCCATGGAAAATGGGCATGTGATAAAGATAATCTATTTAGGACTGAGAATTCTTCAGTATTTTGTTCTCTGCACCTTGATCAAATGTGATTCTCTGTTAATCTCCATCTACTGCAGAAAGAAGCTTTTCTGATGAGCGTTGAGAGATGCACTAATTTATGAGCATAATGATAAGTCATTAGAAGTCATTTTAACACTGTGTCCGTTGGTTAGAATGATAGCAGTAGGATCTTCCTTAAAGCCCATGACCTGTATAGATATAGGTTCTTGTCCCAGTAATGATACCATCTATAGGTTTTATCTTGTGTAACAAACTTAAGTCCAAGCATAAAACTGGTTGGTTATTCTCTTGACATTCATGTCATGATTATACCAGTGTGCATGTTTTGTGAGACTGGTCCTTATTGTAGCTTGCAGGGTTCAAAGCTGGTAAAGAGTGATGATCACTTTTTTCCTCTGGTAGTGTTCATTGCATTTTTCAACACCATGAAAGGTAGCCAGTAGGGATGAAGCTTCCAGGTCAGTATCATCTTTATTTCTCTATGTTCAATGATTCAAGTATGTGGTATCTTTAGGCATAGTGTCTTACTGTCAACTTTTGGAGGGCAATTGAGAGCATTGACAAGAGCCTATAATGTTTGGGTGTTTAGGAGACATTTCTTGGAAACAACTAAAAAAGGTGACCTATTTCTAGCACTAGACTTTTTGTTAAGCTCTGGTGTCTAGGAGGGGTGTTTTCTCCCTGTCTTAAGGGAATCTCCATTTTAACCTTCTTTATATTGTATGTATATATTTTAGGATTGCTTTTCCAGGAGTTGGTTTCCATATGTCTTTCTAGAAAACACTTAAGTGTCACTTATCTCTAACAACCTAATCAAACCTCTGGAGGCAGTTAACAATGTCCTATATGGGATTCAGCCTTTTGCTCACTGACATTCTCCCCCCTACCTCTTTTATTGAAAATAGACTTTGCTTTTATATAACACATCTGATTGTGGTTTTTCCTTCTCTCCACTCCTCCCGGTTCCATCCCACCTCTTCTCCCACCCAGATCCACTCCCCTTCTGTCTTTCACCAGGAAACAAACGGGCTTCCAAGGGATAACAAAACAAAATAAAACACAATAAAACAAAACAAAAACAAACACATCAGAACATGACAAAACAAACAGAAGGAAAAGAGCCCAAGAGAAGACACAGGAAACATGCCATTCCTTTGTGTACTCTGGAGTCTCATCAAAACACTAAACTGGAAGCCATAACATGTACTCAAAGGACCTGTAGGGTAAAAAGAAAGAAGAAAAATAGTAATATAAAATTAAAAACAAGGCCGGGCGGTGGTGGCGCACGCCTTTAATCCCAGCACTCGGGAGGCAGAGGCAGGCGGATCTCTGCGAGTTCGAGGCCAGCCTGGGCTACCAAGT